CACAACTCCCGGCGTGCTTTGCGCTCCCGCCTTGATCAGCTGAGGCGCCTGATCCTGCCGGGCGGGCGGTTCCCTCCCTCCTTCCCTCCCTCGGGCGGCGGCGGCGGTCCTTCTTCATCCTCCTCCTCCTTCCTCCTCCTCCTCCCGGGCCCGATCCTGATCCTGCGGCGGTCATGCTGCGGCCCAAGGCCTTGACGCAGGTGCTGAGCCAGGCCAACACGGGGGGCGTCCAGAGCACCCTGTGAGTAAAACCCGGAAGCGGCCTTTTTTTGGGGTGGAGAGGGGTGACTACCGCTCCCATCATCCCCCGACGCTGCCTGGAAACGGGCCACTACAGCTCCCAGAATCCCCTGCCCCCTTCCAGAGCGGGCCTGGCCTCCTGGACTCCTACAGCTCCTGGAATCCCCCCCACACACACACGTGTGTTTTGGACTACAACGCCCAGAATCCCCCCAGGAGCAGGCCTTTTTCTCCTGGGCAGCCCTTGGAGTCGTTCCTTAGAAAAAGGAACTTGTGACCAAAGGGAATCTCCTCCACCCAAACCCACTTCCTTCGCTTGGGGAGGGGGAGGGGGGGAGAAGACCCTGCTGGAAATGCTCTCTGTGTGTGTGTGGACTACAAGCCCCAGAATCCCCAGCAGCACCGGGAGGGGGGAGGGCCTGGGAGGATGGCAGCACTAGTCCAGGAAAGGAGCTTTTCCTCCCTCCTCCAGGCTGTGGTGCCCACTGGCCGCTCGGCTCTGATCCTGACCCCCGAAAGAGTCGTCCGTCCCCCCCACTGCTTCGTTCCTCTTTATCTTATTCTCCTTGCACTTTTATCCCGCAGACCCCGTGGCCGAGCTGCTGCTCTTGGGCCTCTCACGAGCCATAATCAGAACATCCAGTGGGAATACCAATAAGGCATCCTGCACAATACAATAACTCCTTTAAAATAAAATTAAAAAATCATAAGAATAATAGGCGGCTGGCAGAGAGAAGTTCCTGAATACAAAACAGAAACAATCCAAATATTCTTGCAAGGATTCGAGGAACGAAAAGGGCTTTTGTGCAGGGGTTGGTTCTAACCCCCTTTTATTTCCTCAGCCTTTCAGGGGGGGGCCTCCAGATATTTGCCGACTGGCTCTCATTCTTGGTCCATCCTGTTTTCCTCCCCCCCCCCCCCCNNNTTCTGAACAATGAGGGCTCCCTCCTTGCATATTCCGGCTACGGAGATACAGACGCCAGAGTCACAGCCGCCATCGCCAGCAACATTTGGGTCGCTTACGACAAGAACGGGCACCAGGCGTTCAACGAAGACCACCTGAAATTCATCCTCATGGACTGTATGGTAAGTGAGCCTCCGTCTGTCGCCAACGGCCGAGTTCCGGCCGTTGGGTCTCGCTTTAGCTCTTCTGTTTTAAGCGTCCTTGGGTTTGCCGTTTGAGGAGGGATCTGGAGCTCCCTGCTAGGTCCCTCTTCAGCATACGGCAACTCCCAAGCTTCCATAGGAAGGAATCGCGACGGCCAAGCGACTGTGTAGACATACCATAGAAAAACCCCTTGCCTCCTGGGGCCTTGGTTCCTCTCCTGCTTACCTTGGAAATGTGTAGGGTGGTGGGAAATCTAAATCTCCCAAAGCAATGGATCCCTTTTCCTGCACATGTTCATTCCCATTTCTCTCACTCTCTCCTTTTCTCCGCCCTGCAAAACGCACACAACCCAAGGAAGGCCGGGTGGCCATCACCAGAGTCGCCAACCTGCTGCTCTGCATGTACGCCAAGGAGACGGTGGGCTTCGGGATGCTGAAAGCCAAGGTGAGGGGCCTTTGCCGGGTCTGTGTGGGCGGCCTCCTTACAGCTTATTTATTTATTTATTTGATTTGATTTATACCCCGCCCATCTGGCTTATAAAATCACTTTAGGCGGCTTCCAGACCAGCTTCCTTTGTTTTATGTTCCGCCCCCCCAAGTCTGATTCTTCTCACCTGGAAGTGCGTGTGTGTATAAAACCTAACTGTTGGTTACCACCAAATAATAATAATAATAATAATTCCTCTCCTCCAACAAAACAAATTATGCCATTTCCCTAACTGCAGAACAGGATTTCAGCCCTTCTAGCCAAAGCACAGATGTTTTAGATGTTGGATTTTAAATCTGTAAATGCTGCTGCAGACCTGCGTACTTGAATTTTAATTTTTTTCCCCTAATCTTTAGGGGATTGCTTTTTTAAATTATAGTGGGAACTCTATATCCCTGATAAGGGGGTCTTACTGTATTTTATTTACATGTGTTAGGGTGGGGCCTCTTTCTGCTTTGCTGTGTTAAGATTCGCCTTCTGTTTTCTCCAGGCTCAGGCGCTGGTCCAATACCTTGAAGAGCCCTTGACCCAGGTGGCTGCCTCCTGAACAAGTGTGTGTGTGTGTGGGGGGGGGGACTGGACATTTTCCCCCCACCAAGAGCGGTGCTCAAAAGAGAGACTTTTTCGGCCTTGTGGGCTCTGCTTCTCAGTCCAACCTTGGCTGATCCCGGGGGTGGGGGATGGGGGACACAACACTTGGATTGTGTGTATTTTGCAATTAAAAGGATGCATGGGAGGGATTAAAAAGTTTTGTCTTAGCAGCTGGCGTGTGGTCTCTTGGAGGAGGGGGTCGGGGATGCAACCCCCAAGTCATTAAAAGGGGAGGAGAGTAGACAGGAGAGGTGGACAGCGTGGGTTCATCACACAGGCTGAACGGAGAGGAGGAGACGGACAGAACTGAACCCAGCACACCGTCCCCGCTCAGACCGGGCTCTTGGGGAGCATCCGCAGGGTCCATTTTCAGTCGAGTACGAAGGAAAGGTTGCATCCAGAGAGACGGGAGAGAAGGGTAGAAATTGAGCAATGAAAACTGCAAGCTTGGAGGTCTTTACTTGGGTAGAATGGCTACAAAACAGAGGGGTTTTTATTTCCATTTAAATCTTCACCACACCAGAGTGCATGGGTGGGGGCCCCATGTCGCTGCTGGCGTGGGAGCTGCTTCCCCATGATGGAAAACGTGTTTAGAAGGGGTCCCCTTTCCCATTACGCCAATGGCCGCAAGCGGGGTGTTTTCCGAAGAGTGAGCCACGAAAACCTTGTTAAGTCTTCAAGAGCCCCCCCCCTAAAAAAACTTGTTCCCTTTTGCTGCCCCCTAAGACCAAGTCTCTCCTTCCGCCGCTTCGCTTTTTTGGAAGGCTCCCTCCCGGTGAAGGAGACCTGCACCTCTCGGAAGCTTGCAAACATTTTTCTGCCTTTTGGGGGGAAATAAACTGGCCAGTTTCAGCTCAAATAAGCTCCGTTAGAGCAAACGCACCTTCCCGAGCCGGCATTTGCTGAGACCGCTGGGGTGTGTATGAATTGCCACCTGAAGCCTGCTTGGCCCCCTCCCTCTTGTCTTTTACAAAGTCTCTTAAAACAATTTTATCCCGCAGGCTTTTCACAGCTTGCTCGCTGAAAGGCAAAGGAGTGCGCCAGCCTCTGAGCACTCACTGCCGCCAGGTTTAATGGGTTTTGAATGTGCCAGGAGAAATTCGTTTACTTTTGCTGCACTGATTTCATTATGTTTTATTTTATGTTACTGTTATTGGTGTGAACTGTTCATCCGAATATATGTTGAAGGTGAAGGCGGAGGAAGCCGCTTAGGTGGGTTTCGGGTGCTTCCCGGCCCAAACGCATCACGCCTCACCGGCAGGACCTGCTTGCTTGGTCCTGCGTCCTGTTTTACGGCAGCCACCTGCGCTGGCGAATAAACAAGGCACCAAAGTGTACCTGTCCAGCCTTCTGGGTCCCCCTTGGCCTGGCTGGTCTTGCCTTGCTCTTCCGGCTGATGGTTTAGAAGCTTTCCATCCCGTGACTGGGAAAACAGAGCAGGATACGGCCCCTTTAAGGGCGGGGGGGGGAACCCAGCCATAAATTAAACCTATTTATGGTCTGTCCATAAATGGCCAAGGAGTGGCTTGACAGCATTCTTAGCAAAAACACACACACACAAACGGGGAGGGGGGAGCAGAACCTAAATCCAGCGCAAACCTTACAGGTTTACATCGTTTTCTGTTTGTCGAAACACAAACACGCTTGAGAATATTCTACAGAGAGACTGGCAAAACGTTAGGAAGAACAACCTTCAGAACATGGCCAAAGAGCCCGAAAAACCCACAACAACCATTAGATCCCGGCCATGAAAGCCTTCGCGAATACACTCAATATTCTTCTCGTTTTCATCTACTCATAGAATTCTTGGTTTTGCCTCTTTCTTGCCAGTATGCCCAATACCGAAATGAAAAATATAATCACAGGACGCCAGTAGGCATAAAATGGGAGGGCCTTCCTTGGGAAACACGGACGTTTTCTAATTACAAGGAGGTGACCTGATCAAACATGGTTCGTTAATGAAAGTGGTTTGATTTTAGCTCCGCACATGGCCTACCTCACAGGGTTGTTGTCAGGAGAAAGGAGGAGGAGACCCACATCCACAATGCAGTGGGGGAAAAAAGGATCATTTTCCTTAAAAGAATGCTGGAAACAAGGATTCTTAACACAAGATTTCCACACGTGTGTGTTTTTCTGGGAACCTCAACCGAGGCCATAAAGGTTCAAAGCCAGGGATGTAAATATGGCGTAATTTTGCATGCCTGGACATTTTCTGTTCTTTTGCTTCATTTTCCAAGCAAGGAACTTCCTACGGAAAGATATTTTGGGGGAAAATGATTCAGGCATGTTGGAAAGACACCTGGCATTTAGGAGACCCCTGCAGGCTTAAATTTTATATTTTTTTAAATGTTGGCTTTCTTTCGTGCGCAAGTCCACTTCATCAGACAGATGGAGTGGACTTGGGTCCATGAAAGCTCACATAAAAATATATATAAAAGTTAGTCTAAGGTGCTACCAGGTTTTTAATCTTTTTCTTGCTACTTTTTTTTGGGTATTGTTTTCATCTATAATGGTTACCCGGACTAACACAGTTGCTATGGAGGTGGCACCTCTTGAGTCTTGAAGAAGGACCTCCATAGCAGAAGAAGAAATGACTTCACATCTCTGACAGATTTTTCCCCCAAAATTCTCCTTCAGGAAAGTCAAAAAGAACTTTGCTCTTCGGCAGTTTTGAAACCATTGCCGTTCCGGCCGTCATCGGGTCCTTCTCTGTTCTCAAGTTACTTCCCCTCTTATGGCGACACTTAAAACGAGTTTTCGAGGTATCTGAGCTATTTAAGGAGTGGTTTTAGCTTTGCTACACACATACACACACAAACACTGTGTGACTTTCCACAACAAGGCAAGGATTGGCAGACTATTCCCTGCTTTTTTTTTCAAATGCAGTTCACTTTTGACTTGCAAATAACTAGACTTATATATATGTTCTTAGGCACAGAAGAGGCTGGAAGATCAAAACCCCACTGGGGCCAGACTAGATGACCCTCAGGGTTCCCGCCCGGCTCTCCAAAGCGACGCTGAGCACTGGGACGGTCCCTCTTTACCAGCCACCCCCTCGGGTGGCCTTTCCAGCCTCTTCTGTCCCGAGGCTCTCCCTCCTCTTCCTCATTCCACCCCTTCCTGTCTAACTGGATCCCTCAGCCAGGTTTAAGGCAGGGAAGCGTTGTCATAAGCTGGAGGTGGCTTCCTCGGTGAGGATCCGAAGGTCTTCCCGGAGCCCCCAGGCTCCTTGCAACTTCCCAAGAGAAAGCGGCACGTTCCTACCTCTTAGGACTGGGCAGAAATTCCTTGAGTGACTTGGTCCCGATTCCTCCATCCTGTCTTGCATTTCCAAGACCTACGGAGTCGAAATCCACCCTCTGGAGGAGGAAAGTGGTTGGAGCGAGGCCCAGAAGCCTTGCTTTGGGGGGGCTACAAACCCCAGCCACTCTTCTCCAGGCCAAACCCCCTCCGTTCCCTCCTCCATTCCTCTCAGGGCCTGACTTTCCATCCTTTGGGTCGCAAATGCTGGTCTCCCAAGAGAGCTAGAAGGACCCCTAAGATATTGGGGGGGGGGTCCTGTACTCGTAGACCTCACTGGCTCAAAATCCAGGAAAGCATCTCTAGGACCTTGAGTCACAGAGTTGGAAGGGGACCCCAAAGTTCATCTAGACCAGCCTATCTTAAGGTTTTGACTGTGCCGTTTATTTGTATTTTATTCTTTTTATTTTTCTGTTCTGTCCGATGGTATTTTAACGGCGCTGTTTACGCAGGTTGCAAACTGCCCAGATGGGGCGGTATAAAAATGAAATGAAATCAATAAAATAAGACATAAATAAATTCCTCAGGACCTCAGTCAGAAGATCACACCTGGCATTTCATTCAACAACTTTTGGAAAATCCAATCCTCTGCTCTGGAAATAAACCATTTGTCGGTTGCATTTCAACATCCTTGTTTTGCCAACGACTCTGCTAAATATTTACACACTCTCCTTCAATACAGCAGGAAACAAAATCCAGCCGTTAAAGGTTCAAGCGCCCTGCCAAGGAAGAGAGGTGGCAACACCGCCTGGCGTTTGAAACCTGTACAGGACTGCTCCTCTCTGGGCATTTTCCAGCCTTCTCTGCCCTTTCGTTGACCATTAGTCCCTCGCTTTTCTCTCTGTACCCGCCATGTGTTCCTTGGCAAGGTGCGGTGGCAAATTCTTTTGATGAGCCCTGAGTTCAAGAGCGGGCATTCCTCAGAGGCAGAGGCACCTTGGCAGGGAAGGGAAGGTGGCAACTCACCGGGGAAAAGCCCCTTCTC